TGTTATACTTGCATTTTCTAAATGAAGGTGAACGAGCTAAACTGCCTTTTTAAGGTCATGCCACAGCATCTCAATCGGATTCAAGCGAAGGCTACGCCAAAGTCTCCATTTTCTGTAGAACCCAAGTGCACTTGAGCTTGAGGTCACAAACAGATGGCAGGGCATTCTCATTCAGGATGTTTTGGTAGAAAGCAGAATTCATGATTTCATTTACCACAGCAAGTCTTCCAAACACTTTTTCACACCACTGTAATTTGCTGGGTTGTGTCCCAGTGCATATAATACACCGGGACACAACCACAGGCTGATTAACACATAATACAGCATGCAGACGCATGAATGCTGGCAATGCCGTCGGCTGCTTAAGTAGGTTACGTTGTAGGCTTTACCAGTCTAAATCAGCTGTTTGTCATGTTCTTTTTCAGAAACCCAATATGGCAATGGGTCACAGTAGCTATATCCATCTTTTATGTACAGCTTATGCTTATTTTGTGGGTTTTTTTTTTTCTTTTTCCACTATTTGTTGATTTGTTTTGTTTTTCCAGCACGTTTTGATCCTCCTTGAAGCAGGATTTCCACTCAGTGTCAGTCTTTCCTTTCTTGTCTGAATAGGTAGTTGGGAACTTAGTCGTCTTCTTATTCTCTCACAGTTTGTCTGGGCATGATGGATGTACTTGACTTGCTCTTAGCAAATCCAGTTGTATTTAGAAGAGACATCTGTCTGTGCTCCTGTATGCTTGCACATTGTGCATTACCAAGAGCAAACACACAACTCAGTGAATTATGCACATTGTAACCAGTTTCTTGGTTGCCATTGTTGTCCAGTATAAATTAAGGGTTTTTTATTTGTTTGTGAAACTTGTCTCAGTTTTAACAAAAGCAAATGTGTCTGAAAATATGACAAGATAAACGAGTTATTGAGTTATTTTCAGTTATAATTCTTAGTAACTTATCATCTAACATATGACTCCTCGGGCTATAATAAATCTATGAATATAAACAGTCTGTAGTAGACCAAAATTTCTGTCTGTGTGTACATCTAAGCATAATAAGTCTCAATTATACTTTCATAATTGGAGCCCTTTCTAATGTTTTTTTCCTGTTTACACATTACAGAGTTATTTTAGATGGTCCTATAAAAAGATATAAGATTCCTTAGAAAGTCTGTGGAGGATGTTCTTTGTATAGCAAAAGGAAGTGCTCTGTGTGCGTGCATGTTTGTGTGTGTGTGACTCACTGGCTCCTGTTGGTCTGTGTCTTCAGACCCACAAATAAACAGCACTAAGCCAGCTGGAAATGGGGAAAAGCACAAGATTCTCTCAGTCTGTGTATGGGTTAATACAGTTCATGAGAAAAGGAACCAAACACCCCCACACACATACAGTACACACACACACACACACACAGACACTCGCGCATGCGCTTAAACACATACTCCACCCTTCATCTGTGCCTTTGAATTTTCCCATCCTGACTGCCCAGGTGTCTGCAGTGGATATTACATAATTGTTCTCGTCAGTGTTATTTGAATCAGCACTCAGGCTGACACCATCACTGGTGGTGCTTATGTGCATGTACACTCAGGTAACAGCTGTGCCTTCAGAATCACACTTATCCGCTAGGTCACAGCAGAGGGTTCGTCTGTGTGCCAACAATGAGCTTCCTCAACTTTTTGGATCTTATTAAAGGTTCTAATGGAAGAAACACTGAGAGGGCTTTGTCCACTGGAGCCAGCTGTGCTGCTCTGTCCTCTCTACTCACAGCCTTTTTTGTCTCCTCACTAGGGATGGGTATCATTTAGGTTTTATCTGATACCAGTACCAAACCGGTACTTTTGAAACGGTGCTGGTGCTTAAACGGTGCTCAAACCGGTGCTTAAAGAATGGAGAACACAAATTTGTCCAAAAACCTCTCATGTTCAGCTGTTTTTTTGTAAAAAGATAACAATGTTAGCCTTTTCTGCAGCTATGGGGCATATATGGCATCACTCTTGGCTGGAAGCAGTGCTTAAACAATGGAAAAAACACAAACTTTGTCCAAAAACCTCTCATGTTTAACTGTTTTCCACTTTTTCTTTGGTCATTTTAGCCTTTTTGGCCAGGGTGAAGGGAGTATCTGCCATCAAACAAGAAGACAGCCGCATGTAGCTATGATGATGTTTGCTAGTTCACCTTACATGCATTAATGTAATAACGTGGTTAGCCTACTCAACGTAAATTACACACGAACAACATTAAGCTACTCACGCAGAGAAGAACGGCTGCTGCTGCATCATCATCCTCATCATTTCTGCTACACTGGCAGGGCTAGGGGCCAGGACTCTCCTCTTCGGGTTTTTGGGGGATGTTGCTAACTCCGGGTCCGATAACAGGCACCACACCCGCAGTAGATGTGCTCGGTGTGAGGTCTCGCAGCAAGCTATCAAATACGGCGCATTTCTCGGCTTTTAAAAAAACGCTATGCGTCGCCAGGTGTTTCATCGGATTTGAGGTGTTACCTCCTTTGACAGTATCACAGTATCAGCTTAAAGCACTTGTTGCAGGCTGCTGAGTTTGCATCTTTTGCTGTGAAGTACAGCCAGACTTTTGACCGCTTCGCCTTGGGCATTTTTAATCTGTAGCTCTGCTCTAAAAGAACGTACATACCTGGGCCCGCCTACTACGCTTGCAAAGGTAAAATGATTGGCTGGAATCCAAAGTGTATGACATTTCAGGAAAAAAAAGCGCCGAAATAAAGCACCGAAATGTGCGCTGCTTTTCGGTCTGGTTACTACCGTTTATGTCAGAACTGGTGCCATGATGGCACCGGATACCGGTACCCATCCCTACTCCTCACTGTCTTTTCTAAGTAGCAGTTGGGTGGGTACAAAGGGTTGCTGTGAGCCACCTGGGCTGTTCTAAGAGAAGATCCTGAGTGGGAAGATAAATATGAAAACATTCACTTGATTCAACTGAAATAATGTATATGCTATCAACATGCGGGATTTGCATGTCATATATTTATTTTTCATTTATTATGACTATCAAACACGCCAGAATGTCTCTCTAAGACACCCAAATGTCAGTATTTCTTGTCAGACTTGAGCATGAACCTGCAACAAGGTCACAGGTTTTAGCGCTGCAGCAGCAGACCTGTCTATCACCAGCCATCTGTCCTGTGGAAATGTCCTTGAACAGAGGACTGGAGCCCTACCTGTTCACTCACTGTAAGCAGTCTGGAGTGTCAACTAACAGCCAGAAATGGAAATTATGTAACTTGTAACTGAGTGTTCTGCACCTTTAAAGGACTTGTTTGTGACCACCCATCACTGAGGTATGAGAACTTCACTGGAATGGGCTGATGGAGGACATTTCAGGCCACCGTGTTAACCAGATTAAGTTAGTTTATATTTTGGATTATTAGCTAACAGTCTGCTGTGTTGAGCTCTGGCCAGATGCTGACCTCATCCTGACTTAGCTAGCATGCAGCAGCAGCAGCAGCCGTACTAATCATCCAATCAAGTCACAGAAAGACGAGTCTGTGTTCACTGTTGAAAACAGCTCAGTCTTTGAGAAAAACCCCAACTTTTCCAGCTTGTATTCCCTGCACAGCTCACCACTAGACAGACTGGATGATGTATTAGAGGAGGGTGAGTTGAGGTTGATCTGTAAGGAGGGAAGGTTAAGGGAGATGTAGGGAGAGAAAAGCATCTACTGAGAAAATGATGAAGGGTTTGGATGACAAATGGAAGCCGAGATGAGAAAAATGTCTACTCCCCACTGAAGTCTCCTCATTCATCTGATAAGAGCTGCATACTCTCATGATGAATGGCCGGTGTCATAAGTCACTCCAAGTTTCATATTTTCCTGTCTGAATGATAGGATCGGTCGAGATGTACTGATTGCTGTGGCTTGTTGTTGTTTGTATCCTGTGTATCCTTGGCCTCATTTTACCCTTTCTGTGATTTTGTGATAGCACTTTTAACATTATTCAGCTTAAATAAAAGTCCTCACTTCATAACCTTTCAGCATTTGTAATCCATATGCAGCATTTCCGGGGTCTAAAATTTGGTTTATACAATTTTAATTTTAGTGTTTTAAAATGGAATATTCCATAAGCTGAACACAGCGTCGATAAATTGTTCTCATCTAAAGTTCTTCATGTAGTACCGCTTTTTCCCCCCTGCTGTATAGACCAGGAAAACTATAATCACGCAGAAACAGAACAACCTCCAAACGTGGTGTTTACTTAGGGCCTGTGATAACAAACATCACGTTAACCATAGCAGCACATCATGACGCGCTTCCGTCTGCTGCTTGCTAAATTACCCTGATTGTCATCTTCTCAGGTTTCCTCCTCTGCTCAGAAAAGATAACATCCCTCACTCTATCTGTACTCGAACATCCCCGCTTTCACTATCTCGCCTTTTTCTAAATCCAGTTATCTCTCTGCTCTCATGATGATGATGACCGTTGTCATATCTTTTCAATCTTAACAGAACTGCTTGTTGTTTCCTCTTTCCTTTTTTTGTCAGAATTTAATGATTTCTATTTTTTGCTATGAATCCACAAGTCAGAATTTAGCATGCAGTTACATATTTATGCCATATTTGTCAGTAAGACAGAATAGTTTGTCGTCATCCTTGTGCTCTCTTTGGTTCTTAACTCATAAAGAGGAGTAAAAGGTGTCAAATTGTAATATTGTTTCCAATTGGTGCTTTTTAAATTTCTGTTATTTGTATTGTTAAAGTATTTGATCAAAGGGTAATTTACCTTTCTGATTTCTAATTTAGTGTTCACGTGCAATACAAGATGTAGTAAAATGGTGTTAACTAATGTCATACATACATTCTGATAAGTCATGCCAACAGTGGTTGCAAACATCACATTTCTAAACACCCTCAAATAGTCAGTGGTGCCATGTGTTTTTTGTTGTCCTTGGCATTTTTCGTCTTAATAAGTATCAATTAAGGTAAATATTCACTACAATAACTCCTTCAAAAATTCTTCATTCCTCTAAAGAATCTCCAAGAACATCCCGACCACAAAGGACGTGGAGCCTCTGCTGGAGATCGACGGAGACATCCGCAGCTTTGAAGTGTTCCTCTCCTCCAGGACGCCTGTTCTTACTGCCAGAGATGTGGAGATGTTTCTGCCCTGCACTGTTAACTTGGACCCCAAATTGCGGGAGATCATAGCAGGTCTGTACACACATGGTATATTTTACAGATGGCAGAAAAAAAAACAAAAACCCTGCCATACATAGCATAGTGTTAGTAGATATTTGAGTTGCAATATCCTGTCAGAACAACTTCAGTGCTCTTTGGCAGTCTCCTGTGCTCTCCTGCAGGGATTAGCATTCTTTCAAAAGATATTCCCTCATTTGGTATTTTGATGATAGTGCTGGAGAGTGCAGTCTACCACATCAAAATCTGTTTTATTTTGTTGCAATCTGGGGAAAGGAAAGGGAGCATGAAGGGGATGAACTCTGTTGTTGCCTCTGAAGCTTTCAGCCACATCTCATGGACATCTTCAGCAAACGGACAAGCTCAGTTGGCACGTGTATGATTTAGCTGTTATGATGGGACAAAAAACCCCAAAACTGAATGGTGTACAATAGCATGGAGACACTGAAAACTGTCCTCTATGCAATGTGTCCGGTGCAGTGCCAGCTCATTTGGCAGTGGCATTACTCATAGCATTGTAGCAGGGTTTGCTCTAAAATCGCCCACTGCAGGGGCTCTCAGTAACCCACAGCGTGGGTCTCGTTTCCAAACAATCAAATGTCGACCAGCGCTGTACGATCAGGACAATGCCTTCGCTCCCCGTTTCCAATCTGGCCATAGTGCAGCACCAAATTTCACACTTTGTAGTTACAGTGACGTAATAGTGCATCACTGTTAAACTGTAAGCCAGAGCGGAGTTGTACTTTCGCTACCGTGCGTCAGCGTCCATTCGGCCCGTACAGGAGTGTGGATGACGCCTGGTGTGAAGCTGCTGCATCATAGAGTTATGAGACCACAGAAAACACACACTCGCACACACAGAAAGTCTGTTCCACTGAAACAACTTTGAGTCACGGAGGGCGCAGCTGACAAAGTACTACAACCAAACGCCCCGATCTGTAAGTACAGTACTCTGTTCCTAAAAAGGTGCGTGTAGTGTATGCATCCATGAAACATGTGTTTGTGTTTGTACGTGCTCAAAACTGTGGGCGTTTGTGCCTCCACTCTTATCCACGGCGAAACGGAAGGTGACCAACGCTCCTACCCAGTCATCGAACTCCCTGCGCTCCCCTCCCTGACCAGTTGGTACTTGGTGCCCAGTGTCCTGTGGCCAACCAGTGGGCAGTGCTGTCAGTGATACCCGCCCATGAGCCTGACTCACATCATAAGGCCCCCATTGTGTTCACAGGCTGGATTGGGTCTCACTCAGCGTGTCATTCAGCAGCCACTTGTATAACCAGGAGACATTCTGGTGCCTGCTTCTGTTTCTGGTTCTTCCTTTCTTGCCAGCCGCACAGAGCTACTCTGTTCTGTCTTCGGGCTTATTTAACTTTAATTTGGGAGCTTTAACCAAAGCTCCCTACTTACCTCCTCCACGACTTCTCTCAAAGTCAGAATGGTTCGTGTGAAAGCGGCTGTAGCAAAGCACTTACGGGATGATGTCTATGAGTTCACATGGTCCTCTTTGTTTGTTTACATGGGCGAATTTATTTGACGGGGACAGCAAAGAGCTGCATGTGCCAGAAAACGTCACGTGGCTGGCATATAATCTGGAAAACAGAGAATATCAACACGCCTGCTGTTTGTGAGCAAACAGAGTAATAGGAATCAGTGTGAGAGTGGAATTCACAGTTGAAGGTCTCTGTAATCGTAACATCTGCGCTAATTTTCTTTCCAGTCTGTAGTTGTTTGACTCTCTTCTTACTGGGATAAGGAGAACATGTTCACGAACAATGTTCTTGTTGTATTCCCTGCAGTGCTTTGAGAATCAAAGAATTTTGCCGGCATGTACGTCAGCTGTTTGATATGTAGTTTTTTTCCTCTGAATTCACAACTGTCCAAACTCTCCAGAGATTATGAAATAAAGCGAAATTATTGATGTGTGGGTGGATCTGAAGGGTCTTTATAGTCATCGCCAAGACATGATAATGAGCATCACAGATAAACCCTTCCTCTCTCTCTCACTCTTTCCATTGTACTTCTTCCCTGCCTCTGCCGTCTCTTAGATGTGCGTGCGGCCAGGGAGCAGATGCACATCGGAGGAGTGACCTATCCCACACTGCCCCTCCAAGAGGCAGCGGCCCGTCCCCAGTCAGTTTACACCCAACACTCTGCCGCCTGCTCCCCAGCAGGCTCCTTCACCGGATCCCTGCCTCCTCAGCCACACAGTGCCTACTTCAGTGGAATGACTGGCCCTCAGCACCCTTTCTACAACCGGGTGAGGAAACATGACTTATATCCTGTACCTACTACTCACTCTAAAAGGTGTCTATATGGCCAAATGACAATGCTAACAACCCAAAAATGGCACACAATAGGTGCTTTCAGGCTAAACAGGTCTAAGGACTACCCACTGGGGTGGTCCCATGTGAGAACATACCAATGAGGAATTAGGAAAAATGTAGGCGGAAAGGAAATACAGCAAGGACATAGTGTGATGCTCTTTTAGGTAGTGTTACAAATAGCTGTTTCCTTTAGACAGAAGCTTCTTTCAGCAGCTTGCTGCTGATGTTAGCCTCCAAATCTGATCCTTGACCATTGATAGTCTCCACTAAATCATACTGATTCAGATCTACTTTGGTTGTTGTGATTGTCATTTTCACTGAGTGCAGACTCACACAGCCAATATCAGAGTCCTTCAATCTCTACTAATATTTACTCATTGTTTTTCTTAAGAACTGTGATTGGCTCCTCTGGTCAGAAAGCACCTATTGAAATAAAGATGGATTTCAAAGAGTTACTGGATTTAGCTGCCCAGTCCTTTATTCCTTATCAGTTGACCTACATTGCAGATTTGGACAGTGCCGCATGACCATGATATCCCCCCCCAGCATCCTTTCCTGTTATATGTACACATGCTCATGCTCCTTTATATGATTTTATGATTTTTGTTTTATTTTGTCTTCCTGCCTGCCTTTCCACAATCCTTCTTTCTCCCCTCGTAGCCTTATTTCCCCCATCACGTGTATCACCTGCCACGGCATTTCTCCCACCATGTCCCCTCATCCTCGCGTCCTTCCATTAAACCACCCGGTCAACCGCAAGACACCAGTGGACTTGTAAGTAAAGAAGTTGGGCTAAATGCATTTCACACGTGCTTTCATCTCACCGTAGCACATACACCGTAAAGAAGTGTTAATAGTGTGTTTGACGTTGTTTGACTGGATCGATTGAAAGTTTAAACGCTTTTTACTCTTCTGGTTCACTTTGTTAATAAGTTTATGACATCTGAGCAGTGCTTCCTGGCAGCTAGAAAAGTCTTATTTGATTAGACATACACAGAGTTAAGTTAATAGATTAAATAATTAAACTTGTAAAATTTCAGGCTCAGGACAGCGTGGAGTTTTAGCGCTCAGTGTTTAATGTGCTGTGAAGTCCATTGTGAACCGCAAAGTATGACCTCCTTTCCTTTTTTAATACTTCCTTTTCTGTCGCACACCTCATTTGTCCTGTTAGTGATTCTATATGCTTTAGTTTTAAATTTCTTCATTTCCTCTCAATGATTTTATAACTCCCTGTTTTCACTATCACTGTTCTCATTCACAGTCCAGGTCCTGACCTTAGCGGGGGTATTTCTCTGTTTGTAAAGCCTTACCCTTGCAAATTAAGAAGTTTAAGGTCCTCCCAGTAGGCTGCATGCTTATAACCCCAACCCTCGTTAACACGTCTCCCTGTACAATCCTTCTCTCCATTCTGCACTCCATATCAGGACATTATTGCAGAGGATGCCAGCGAAGCCTTCCACACAAGCCCCATTGACCCCACAATGGTAACCTTACTAATATTAGCGGACGTGTAATACGCACATACAAACTCAACACTAATGCAAAAAACAAAAAAAGTAGTCCTTCATTATCTGCCTGCAGGCCTGATGCTTAAACCTCACATACTGCATGAATAACAGGCATGCCTCGTTGTGCGGCAGGCTACTTATTTTGTTGCAGTGGTTTACAAACGCCAGGAGAACTAAAATAAGCTGTCACGCCTGCTGCGTGCTGCAGACTGCTTAAATACTCATAGTAAGCTGCATCCGGTGTGATTATTACCCCCCACTAAGGAGTGTGCAAGCAATAACACATGTAATTATAACACGCTGAATGAAGTTAATTCTGATTCTGGCACACTGCAATCTCTACTTCTCTTATAAATGGATATTTCACACTGCGAAGTCTTGGTGAAAAGTGTGTGGGATCAAAAATGGTCTGTCTTAAAACGAAAGCCAAAAACACACACTGCCCATTGCTCGTTTTGTGCCCATCATAAGTGATGGGCAGTGTGCAAAAATCAACAGTGGGTTGGATTTTTTTTCTTCTTCTTCTTGTAAATGGATGTAGAGGTCCTGTGAACTTACATCAAGGATGCTTGGAGTTGCACTGAAAAGAAGTGAGCCTCTGCATCCAGATATTCACACATTTGAAGAGAAATCAGCCAGTATTAGAACAATTTGATGATAACGCTACTCGGGAGATTTCTGCTTCACAAAGGCACTTATCAGGCTGCTGCCAGCAAGCATTTAGAGGAGCTGTATGAAAGATTTAAATATAGATTACTGAGTAATGTTCATTCCGTCTAACTCTTATCTGTCTGTATTTTGTGTCTTTAATTTAAAAAAAAAATCCTTTATACCTTCATCAGTCTCTTATATTTTAATACCAATTTTTGTTCCTCGTATCTCCCTTGTGCTCTTTCCTCCTTAGTATAAATTTTCACATTTTCCTTCCCTTTTTTGGTTTGTACTTAATCTCTTCGTGTCGTGCTCATGTGTCCCTGCATTTCTACAAATCTGCAAATGTGTATGTGTACATTTGTGTGTAATTCCTAGTGTGGGGATATATAAGCAGCCCTATCCCAGTGTAATTGCCTAGCTGATGTAAGTGCGAGTATGGATTCCTCTGGCTGCTGGGATTATCATCAGAGCAACTGTTGGGGCTGGCAACACACGTACAGACAGACACACACATATATACTGACAATGAGCCCAGCGCTGGTAGAGCTTATCTCCTTACCAAGACGCTTCCTCCCTCACAGAGCTCTGTTTCCTCTTCCCCATCCTTCTGCCCAGCCCTGAGCTCAGCCCAGCTGTAATTACAGTCTTATCACACACACACTGGGAGGGTTCACACAAACACACACACACGGACACACCCGCAGACATTCATGCTTTCACTCACGCTCTTAGAAGACACGTTCGGTGTCTGAATCAAGGAGCCTTATTCAAGGCCTTCAGTGAATCGAAACTTCTGCTTTTTCTTTGCAGAGTGAGAAACGTCTCATTCTCTAGATGGATCTTTCTTTCTGTCTCTATGTCCTCCGCAGTCCGCTCTGTCTGCAAAGATTATGGCTGTAAAAGCCAGCTGACTCCAGCGAAAACAAAATCTCTTTCTCTGACAATTCTACTTCCAATAGCTTCCTCTTTTCCAGGCCGACAACACTGGCTGGCTAGCTGTCTCCCCTCCTACTGTTTGACAGATAAATGTCTGCACTGTTGTCGTGGTGATGAGTTTAACATGTGTCCTTACAGTCTCTCTGCTTGTCTGTCTAAATTTCTGCCTCCCCGCCTTCTTTTTTCACAGGTACACTCCTGGTTTCACAGTGTTATAAATGTCTGTGTGTATTTTTGTCTGACTTCTTGTCCGTCTGCTTCTTATTTTTTTGTCTCCTGATCAAGCATTTAAAGCCGCTGCCTTACAAATTCAAGCAGGTACACCTTTGGTTTCGATGCTACTTCCATTTCCATCATCCACCTATCTCTGCTTCATCCCTAACACTTGCACCGGTGTACGTTGCATGCTGTAGAAACACGGACTTGTTGCTTTAAAGTCAATGCAAAACACAACTTAACTAGTATAGTTATTAGAGTCACTAACATAGTTTCATTCTAGAGTGTGGATATGATCAGTAGTTAAACTCCCTTAGTGCCAGTCTTCATCCTAGCCATTACTGAAAGTTGGCACCTATTATTGTGTACTGTGTTGTAAGAGCTGCTTAGGTTTTTTGTCTAACAACCACTCACAGTTCGGCTAAGCTCTGCTCTTCTCTCCCTCGAAACCAGAAACAAAGCCAGGGAGCTTAGACTGAAGCCATGTCTTAATAGTGCTAATAGCTGAGTGGAGCGGGAGGAGGGAAGGATGGAGGGGTGAGAGAAAGACAGTGATGGAAAAGAGAGTGATAGGAGGTCAGTGCAGGAGGCTGAGCAGGGAGGAATGTGAAAGGAAGGAAGGAAGGAAGGGAGGGAGGGAGGGAGAGAAGAGGGAGAAGGAAGGAAGAAAGAAAGGAGAACTTTGCTTGTCTCAAAGACGAGCAGAGCCAGAGGGAGAGGGGTGAGTGAGAAAAGGGACGGGAGGAGGGGGGGGTTGGTTGAAGGAGGGTGGATGAGGTTTGTTTGGTCTCCGTGCCAGCGGGTGGCATTTTGGCTGTCTGTGAGGCCTTCACAGACAGCCAGTTGCATCAACAGGCAACTGGTGTTAGTCACATCGAGCTACGTAGCTGCTCATCAGCGGAGGCCGCTTCGGTGTTGGTCGGCTCACAGACTCACAGACTCCATCCCTTAAGTGTTGAGCACACACATTATGCGCTCATATATACACAGAGAAAAAGAATAAGGGAAGGTAACAGCATATTTGGATAGGTTGGCATTTATGTTTACTTTTACACTTACACTGTGTGACTGATAGAAAGAAATACAGTGTGAGGTCGTGGTTTTGCACCTCTGTGTGCCTCGCAGCTAACAGCCCTGCACGTCTGTTTCTCAGGAATTGTTGCTCAGTTTGCCCTAATGAGTGTGTTACGAGTTATGCGTTGCTCTAACAGAATGTGTGCGTGTGTTTGCTCTGGTGACTTTAACTCCATGAAAGCTGTCTTAATATGTTCCAATTATATGTTTATGTGTTTTATTATGTAGGGCTCTCCCGCCATCTTGCTCAGCTCTTTGAACACAGACGCAGTGTGCGAGCGTCTCAGGCAGCTAGAAGGAATCGACCCCACCATGCTGCCTCAGTACACCTCCACCATTAAGAAGGTACGCGTTTAAACTAAAAGAAGTTTATGTGAACACCTCATTTTTTCTTGTTGTCATCTTTGTGTGGCATTCTTTCGATGGTCACATTTATTGCAACATATGAATGCAGTGTTTTTCTTCATGAAGTTCTCGCTACTCTGTGGGCTTTTCTAGGCAATTGCATTGATTCTGTGAGCAAACCAGTCCTTTTTTTTATCCGTTGCAGGCCAATATAAATGGTCGGGTGCTCACGCATTGCAACCTAGATGAGCTGAAGAAAGAGATGGAGATGAACTTTGGTGATTGGCAGCTCTTCAGAGGAATGGTGAGACTAGATTGCTTCATTTAGGTGCCTTTAATGCAATAATATTGTGCAACTCAACATCTTGCTAAATATTGTGTGCATGTTCTCACCATTCTTGTGCGGGTTTTCTCTTGAAGCTCTGGTTTCTCATGCTCCAGAAAAGATGCTAGGTCAGTCTTGCCTTTCTGGGCCTGTGATACTGTTGAAAAAATAGGCTCTAAATCTTACGAGTTTCCTTTCCTGGATAAATAAAGTTGTTTTTTTATTAATTACCCGTTAAACTCTTGTGAACAGAAGTGGTCATATGTAGGCTGACAGGGAAAGCATTAGTCCGCCACAAACAATATCAACTGCCCCTCTGCGACTCTGACGTATACTCAACCATGCCAGGGCCCCGCTGGTGATATTTGTTTCAGTTGTGGTTTGTGCCAGAATCCAGACAATATCACATAATAAGACATCTCGTGTTGTGCTGAGATATTGGGATGGAGATTTTATAATCCGTATTACGAGAAAGGCGCTAGTCAGCCAGCCAGAGGTCTAGTCGGCTCAAATCACTAACACATGTAGCCGGCTCCACTTCATCAAATGTCAGTCTGTGCTCTTAATGCCAAGGCAAGAGCCCCAGATTGGTCGTGTTTTACCGGAGATCCTATGCAGGGCTTGGGTAGAAGCAGCTGGAGAGTGCAGTGGCCTTGCAGCTCCATGTAAAAACCAGTGTTGTGTTGCCAGGATGCAGCTAGCACAGCCATCTGGTTCAAGATTGCTGACTGATATCTGGATGAAGGGAGGGTATTGTCAGGGAGGAGGGGACAGCTGAGTAGATCTACTTAAGGAACAGCTCCCAATTCTGTTCTCACAAGCTTTTGTTGTTGTTGTTGCTGCAGTCTGATGTACTTGTTACATTTAAACACACCAAAAACCAACACGCTAAGTGACTTGTTGATCACATATATTGTCCTGTATTGTTTAAGGTCATAGAACAGCGGCATGCTGAAAGCCAGGCAGCACTTCAGGATGAGTCCCGAGCTGCTAGCGAGCAGGGCAGCAGCGTGCACCTCGGGGAGCCCAGCAGACGCTCAGGGGGAGCCCAGCGCGAAACAGCCGCCTTCAGCCTCAACCTCAGCTTTGAGGAACTCAGCGGCGTGGGTCTGGAGGAGCCTGTGAGACGCAGCAACAACTCACACTGGCCGGTTAGTCTTCCTGTCACGAGCTTGTTATAGAAATATCACAACTGCGGCGTGATCAACCAGTGTGTGAGTGGGCACATTATTTTAACACATGCAGATGTGCAACCGTATTGAAGTTGCTACTTTTAAGCGTAACTGTTATCGTGTTACACTTGGAAATAGTCGGACCCCAAACTGTTGAATGGTCGCTGCACCAAGCCAGTGTGTTGATGACCTCAGCAGTTTCACATAAATGTGGTTTAACCCCAAAAAAAAGAAGAGCACAGCGGAGGAAGCTGACGATGGTCTTGAAATTTGCAGAATTAAAAATACTTAGACACTGCTGCAAACCAAAAGGTGTCAAAGGGCCCCCTATTTGGTATTTTCACCTTTTTGTATTTCCAGTGTGCAAAATGTCTGAGACACATGCAAACGGTCACACGTCGAGTGACACTGCTGCTGTTTCAGATAACCTCCAGTTCCCACTCCACACGCGGTCTTTGCTGGAAACATTCAATTCTCAGATTTAGAATATTTCAGATCTAATGATCAGTTTCAGTTTCAAGTTTCAAAGTTTTCTAGTCATATGCACATTAAAGAAACATGTTTCCCTGTACAGTGAAACTCTTCCTTTGCTGTACACGACAGATGCCAAACAGTATGTAAGAAATACAGTCGAAATATAAGATGTGCAAAAACTAAACTCTACAAATAAAATCAATCTGAGCTACAAAAGCTCATGTACATATTCATGCAGTTTAGAATGCTGCTGTATATGTCTGATTGCACACAGAGTAAATGCTGTTGCACTCTTGTTTTATGCACTCTTAAGTCAATAGCCCAGAACCATAAGGCACTCTGTACTCAGCACATGACAGACTCGGATGAATGTTGCACCCCAACCAAACTTTTTCCTCTTTTTTTCAGGTGGCAAATCACCGCACTTCAAGCATGTCTAGCCTGAATTCCCAGGAATCCTCTAATGACATCTGCAAGCTGACAGACAAGCAGCAGGCTGAGTATCATGATGCCTACAGGGAGTACATCGCTCAGATGGCCCAGCTGGAGATGTCCGGCAGTGGGGGAGAGAGGCCTGTTCAGCCCCACCCTGGACAATTCCTTCAGGCTGCCAGCTCAGAGGACAAAGGGGTGGGTGGACAGTCACAAGTACACTGTCGTGTTTTTGTCACCACATCGCTGATGGCAGAAATAGCTCATTCAAATAAGTCTCTACTGTCATGACTGGAGGAAAGTACCGTGTAGTTAACTTGTGATTTTGAAATGTTGTATTTTGCTGTACTGAGAAATGGCGGGACTCGAAGTCTCAGCTGAGAAAATGGAGACCACTGCTTCTTGCATTTCATCATTATTGGCTTATATTCTTTGTTTGTCTTGGCACCAGAGGCAGAGATAGGAATCCTTTTGTCAGTGGTCTCTCAGAGGTCAGCAGCAGAGGATTCAGTATATTTTTATGTTCTCCTCATTGAAACTTCTTCCCTCTTCTCAGGCCAAGGAAGGATCTGATCAAGACAGCCGCAAGTCTTTCACCAAGAGAAGCTCCAAGAATTCTGATGCCACAGACTTTGCCTCAGGGACCGATGGATTAGACCCCATCAGTGAAGAGGATGAAAAGCTGGATCACAGCTCGTCCTCCAGGACTCCAGGCTCCAAGAAGAAAGGAGCTGGGTCATATTACCACAAGCTGCCCAATGATGAAGACTCGGGCCCAGAAGACTCTGACAACACCACACCTCTCCTCCATAAAGAGGCAAAATTTGGTGCTCTGTCTTCCCACAGCTCCAAGCCAACTGGGCTGCTTGCCAAGCCTGGCTTCCTCACCGAAATCCTCATCGATAAGAAGGACTCGTCCGATTCGGGGATGCGCTCCAGTGAAAGCTCCTCAGACCCATCCCTGGAAGAGGCTGAAGGAGAGACTGGCAGACAGAGAGATGCACTGAAGCCCAGTCTGATTGAACTGGAGCTGGAGGGCTTGGTGAAGAAGAGAGGCCCCCTACCCAGCAGCCTGAGCGGCCTGCAGGATGCCACATTGGCCCGCATGTCCATCTGCTCCGAAGCTCCATCTGAGGCCAGCCTTATGGCCAGCAGCCCAGATGAGGGGTGGCCATCCAGCGGGGTCAGCAACCTCAACCACAGCGCCAGCAACACCACCCTTAATAACAACACAAGCAGCCCCAGCGACACCAACACTAACACCAACAACAGCCATCAGCAGCAGGCTACCATCACAGGCACAGAGTCCGCCTGCTCCAACATCATCTCCCCAGATGTCATCATCATCCCCGGCAGCAGCACTGCCAACACCACGGCAGCCACCATCCACCACAACCAGAACCTGCGAACCATCAGCCTTGGCGACGAGAGGGAGAGCGTCCTCTAAGAAGCCACGTGTTTGTTACACTAAGAAGGGTCATGCGGAGTGTGGTTCTTGATGTTTGTATTGTGTTGCGATGAACTAGCGTAGATGAGTGTTGTGTTGTTAAGGACAAAGTCAAAGAAGAGTTGTAAGGTCTAATAAAGCAGCCACCTTGATTTTTGAAAAGGATAAATCTGATAGTTGATGGTTAAATACCAAAAAATGTTTGTAAGGTCTGTTTGTTTGTCCCGTGTGTTTTTGTCGTTAGTTTGGATTTGCTGTGTGTAGCGACGGTAATGTTACAGTAAAAAATAAAACAAAATAAAGTGTTGCTTATAGAACAGTAGCCATGACTGTGAAGAGAAAACAAGTCTAGTGTTTCTGAGGCATTCGGCCTTCAAAGCATGTTGTGAGGTTGCTAGAATATTTCAGGTAGAACAAAGTGTAGACACTTGTGCTGTTTTCTGTGTGATAGAAATGCATGAACTAGACTGCAAAGCGTCACATGTAAGTGTGTTTTGTGAATCAATAAACATCCTCAGTATGTGGACTCTTGAAATCAGTCTGACGGGGGTTTTCTTTTTTGTTTTCTTCGACTTAACTCAGCTGCTTGTGCAGTACATTATTGGAATTCGCTGGTAAATAGGCCAGAATACGCACATTAAGTCACATTTTTAATAGCTTTCATATTTTACCTAATGATGTGGTGAGGAAAAGCAAATGTCTTCAGTGGTAGGATTCGTATTGACCGATAGATGGCGCACTCTTCATACAAACGTGCTACTGCCTGGTTGTACAGACACCGCCTGTCAGGTTTGAGGACTCTGAACTTCAACACAGTAACTCTTAAAGTGTCCTTTAAGGAGCCGTTTTTATTTCTGGTACTTCTACATTTAACTGTAAATGAGTCTTAACTTTAAGACATGCTTTATTTATAAATAGATTTTTCCTGGTTTGTATAAGAGTGACTGTTTCCACACTTGGAGATTTTTAAGTGTCCCTTGGGGTTATTAAAAAAATAATAATAATAAATAAAATAATCACCTAATGGGAGGCCACAGATTACTTGGCGGGTCAGTGGTATGGAAACATTTGAGATCCTGCAACACGTGACTGTCAGGTCTCACTGCGGGGTCCATCACGTCACCCAACAGCACGCATTAGCCGCCCCCTGCCCCCCTTTCTACCTCAGTCCGCTTTTGATGCCTGCTTTAAAGAACAGTGGACTGCCAAATAACCACGGGTGGCTTTTTAAGGTTTCAACGTGGCCTTTTGATTTTGAACTCCCGTCATCGTTTGACTTGGTTTATAGTTTAATTTCATAGGAATCAAGCTGATAAAGTCCAAACTGCGGACACCGGTGGGGTTTGATTAGTCAAAATCTGGTCTGAATACAGATGCTTCTAGGAAGTTTTGATCTGACTCGTACTTCTGTTTTGCAAAAAGGGGAAAGGCAAGTTAATAGCTCGACTTACGGAATCCAACCCATCACAGACCTATAGTTTCACCTCTTTCCCACAATTGTCTACCATGTTAAAAAACAATAGATCCTCGGCTTCTGGCTCTCACAACCTAAACCAGTTAATCCCTTTTACATTCAGCGGCATGTGAGAAAGTAAGAATGCAGTCAGTGCGTCCTCAGTAAGCTTTTATGCAACCGTGCCTCCAGGTCGTGTTTGCCTTGGAGAAGTGTTGACGCTGTGTTTTAAGACTATTATAGGTCACATACTGCAGGTCTGATAAGGACACTCTGTACGATTAGTTTTTCACGCATCTCAGATGTTTTCTTTACATCCAACCTAAAGCCAACACAGATAACCTCAGCTTGTTCTGTATCTGACTAGATCATTTTACGCACTGGTTTAATCTCCTGAACAAACAAACAAAAACCCACCACATTTACCCCCAACCCGAAGTGGTTCTTCCCCCAAATGACACATATCCAAATGGCGTTTTTGATTTATTTTGTATAAAAAGGTACAATTTACATTACTTTTATAAAAAGTTTCAGCATAATTAAGTACAACATTACACTTTTGCAGAAGTTTGAAATTCCTGCAACTATACAAGATAAACTCCCGATGAGAGTTCACAAGGTTTCATTCTTTTCATTTTAACTTTTTTTTTTTTTTAAACAACGTCCAGTCCTTCATGTGCCAACAATTCTGACAAGACTAAACTTTTTACAGTAACTAACCAAGCTGTCTATTTACGTTCCCACCTCCGCAAAAAAAGCGAAGACTTCAACAAGGAGGAGAAGGACAGGAGGGGGGGTGAAGAGGGAGGAAGAGGGATGGGGTGAAGTCGGTGGTGGTGGTGGGGTGGAGGATAATCCTTGTGACAATCTCGTTTTTCCTCCCGCTGTCGGGAATATAACGCGCCTTCCATTTCCAGAAAGGACCCACAAATAATAATAATAAAAAAGTCTTAAGTTAAATAATAATGAAGTGTCCAAACAGAAAACACATCACATAAAGATTGTCCCATAATAAGCAAAAGTCTCTTGATTTCAGCGTCAGAAGAGGAGGAAAAAAAATCCAGGCCTGGAGGACAGAGGTTGGAGGTGAGGGAAGGGAGAGAGAGAAGGGGGTGGGGGGGAGAGAAGTCCTGCTCCCCAGGTCCTGTGTGTGTTTTTACGTCTTGACCAAACACCTGCAAAAGATTGAGAAAGAGAGGCGTGTTTAGAAAATGCAAACAGGGCAGAGATCCGGACAGACTGGCGCCAGGGAGGAAGCCGCAGTTTTTAACATTTAACCAAACACTCCCAATACTAAGCAAACCCTGCGCTCCAGATGTACACACACAGAAAGAGAGAGAGGGAAAGGAGAGGGCGCACGCACACACAGGCAGACACACACACACACACACACTTCTCGCACAACTTCAGCCTACAATCTGGGGAAGAATCAGCGTAATTGCCGCTCAGCTGGCGCCTACCCACTTCTTGTACCAATTATGTGCAGACATCGTAGTAGCAGTAATCCAAACAGCCATTATTTTCCTGTTGCAGATGCTCTTCATTATAGACACAAGAGGGTATAATACAACCCTGACGATTGCTACTTATATACAGTAAACCAAGCAGCCTGGAGCGAATACCTTGCCACTAAACTCCAGCGCGAAATATCAGTCTGCTACGTCTTTCCACACAGCAGATGAGACACGAAATAGTTCGATCAATCTGTGACACACTAAAGTCTCGCAGAAGCCAGTGATGTGATCTTTAATTTTGTTTCAGATGAGCCTTGTAACTAATAATAATAATAGTAATAATAATAATAATAATAATAAAAATGTACCCAAGTCGTGCTTGCCATAACAGACGCCCCAGTGTTGCATCGCATTCTCATACAAAAACATTAGTGGGACCATTACAGCAACGTGAGACGACATTCGCGGTGGAACAAATGGATGGGTAAATGGTAATTCAAGCCCATTCTGCTCCAGCAGACTGGGAGACAGGCTGTAGCGGAGCCTAAAAGCCCTGGACAGAATGCAGCAGCAGACATGAGGACAGCCTACTTACCGCTTTAACGATGCAGAGTCCGGCTGTCATCTGTCATCAGCTCTGATGGCAACTCCGGGGACTGAAAACAAACAAACAAACCGACCAAATGTTAATTCTTTAAGCAGTATCCGAATGATGTGTCTGGCGTTTGCAATAGTGTTATGTAGGTCAAATCTCTTCCTCATCTGATTCTGAACAAAAGGAGGAAAAAAATATATAACATGCCATTTCCCCCCCTCCTCCTTTCCAACAAGCCATTTTGTGCGAGTTACGCATAGGCTACAAAGGCGCACTGCTTATGCGCGCACACGAAAAAAAGAAAAAAAAAATCCACCAAATCTTTCTCTCACAACACTCTGGACTGTCGCTTTTCAATTAGGATACGCGCTCAGCTACAGTGTAATTACCTGTAATGACAAGATGCTGATATCTGTGTTGAGGGTGGTCAAAGGAGTCCTGGACGGAGTCTGCCCCGGCCGGGAAGGGTGATGCAGGCTGGTTAGTGCGACACTGGAGTCCAGCGCAATCTGCAGGTCCAGGATGTAGTCGATGACATGCTGCAGGATTTCCATCTTGCTGACGTTCTTGTTCTGGGGGATGCTGGGCACCAGCTCCTTCAGCTTGGAGTAGCAGTCGTTCATGTTGTACAGCAGGCTGAGCGGGTCATCCACCGGGGTCTTGCTCCGAGAGATTCCCAAGGAGTGCTCTGATAAATTCACGCTGTTTTTCCGGAAGGATCGCACGGGGCTTATTGCTTTCATTTTTGTAAGTGTTGAGCGAGAGGGTTTGCTTGTGTCGGATGTCTTGCTTCTATTAAGTCCTGTGATTTGCCAGACGATCTGCGATCAGACTGGATTACCTAGCTGTCAGTGTGGTTTATATAGCCAGTAGGCTGGGCATGCGGCAAGGGCGGGCCAAACGCGCTGATTGGGAGCTGCTAACATGTCACTCAACTTCCTTTATACCCTCTATTGGCGCTTCTCATTCAAACCCCACCCCCTTTCCACCAGGTTACCAGTGGCAACGCATGTTGGAGGCGGAACCCAGAGGGCGCTTCAGCAGCTCCGGTGGGCAATTTGGAAAATTAAGCCCTTACCTGTTTCTGATCAAGAAAATTAATGATTCTCATGGATGTCAGTTGACAACGGCAAGGCGCGAGCACCTTTGCCTGCACGTTTTAAATTTGACCCCATAGATTTGCGATGGGCGTCGAGCTTCAGTGGGTTTAGAAAGGTGTATTTAAATTCAACATAAAAAAATAAATAAAGGAGATCTTTTCAAGAGTTTATCTGCTAATCCTATTTACGGAACACCATCAAAGTCCTCATCAGCCAGCACTTATTTTTCCTTCTTGCATCAGCGCATTCAGCTGTGGATTTGAAGTTGTGGAGCAGTGATGATAGTGACCGTGTCAGGCGCGCCTGAGGACTCTTAATTCACACCAGCCCGGACCGGCGTGAAGGCAGGTTCCTGCATGAAGGAGAACAATAACCTTAAAGTGGAGAACTGAAACAGCTACCAACAGAAAGAAATGTTCAGACCAGTCAAAGTTTTTTCTTTCTTTCCTTTAATTGTTTTGTTTGTTTTTACGCACGAGGAAACGTACCCATGTGCACGAAAGATTATGGATGTTTGTTTTGTTTTGGTGGCAGAAATATACAGTTTAACTAACTAACGCACCTAATACCTGATTAAAATGTATTCACTGTATTCACTGACGCCAAGAGTCTGTAAAATATATCACAATAAAGTGCGTGTGTGCGTTAGACATGATGCGCGACAGTTGCAATCAGAGGGAAAACCATCAGTCGATTTACTTCAGCGACTTTTCCCCACAGTTGTATTAAACTGTAGTAATCCAAAGCATCGTGTTTAGACCACTTTCACGTTGGAGATGTGTCTTTAATAAAGACCCAGTGCACTTCGGCACAGCAGAGTGCAAATGTAGCTTTTACATCCACACACGTGAAGAGGCGATTAACTACAATTGACACTTTAATGTTTTCTGAATGAGTCATTTGTTAGCAGGAATTACACGCTTCATTCTTCGG